CGTTTTTAAAAAACGGCTTATTTTTTGAAGTGGTCCAGGAAAATAAAAACTCTTCTACTTACTGCTTTGGTGTAAAATATAAAAAAAAAAAAAAAAGAAAGAAAGCTACCTGAAATTAAAACATCAAAAGTACCAATTTCCGAGCTAAGCCTTTGGCTGGTGGCTGGTTTGTGAGACTTATTCGATAGTCTGAATGGGCGCCAAATAAATCCATCTATACATAATAAAAAATGTCTGTGAAATCGCCGTTTCACCACTACATGAGATGTGCTGAATGGAGTTTGGGCTCCTGGCGATGTTTAAAGCTGACAAGATGGACCGCTGAAAGCATTGAGGTATCAGTTTTACTTAGACTCAGCTGATGCACATGCGCATTAGATACCATTTCTTAGCTGATTTGCATGTCACAAGACGCGCGTAAAACAAAAGCGTTTCCGGAATACTCTAAACAAACCTTGTAGAGTTGAACTAGTTAGAAGCCAAAATCGTGATTATAGGCCCTAAGCCACATGAGAGCACTCATTTTTTATATACCATTGAGAATTCACCGATGGATTTTTCCAGGGAAAGCCAAACATCGACGAATACTCCCGAACTCGAACATCAGTAGAGGTGAGAAATTGCACGAAGTCTGAATGATTGTGGAAGGTTCACGGTCGACAACGCTTGATTTTCCAAATATATGTAACCTTTTTCATCCATTTTTCAAATATATGTAACGATTATTTGCTCGCCATTGTTACTGATTCTGATCATTTCTCTTGTTTTTTTTGGTAAAGGAAGGCGATTTCTCCCACTCGGCCGCCTATGCGTTTCTCACCTCTTCTGTTCATGTTCCTTTGAATACTGTTTTTAACCAAATATGATAAAATAATGTAATAGGATGAGTAAAAGTTTGCTCAAAAAGAGATTTTCAGTAAAAGATCGAGGATCGAATGAAACACTAGGTAGGATTGAAGTGGATTTCTAGATGTATCCGACGGGTAGATTTGATTTCGGATTGATGTAAACGCTTTTCAAACTGGCAAAAGTAGTTTCCAGGTCAGCGCGGCCCCATAGCTGACTGAGTCCCTTTAACGTTTAATGATCCCTTGTTTGCATTTAAGATAAAACAACAAATCAATTCATGGGCTGCACTCCCTGGAAGAGATGATAATTTATTATTCCACCATTATGTCATTTTACCATATAAGGTCAAGAGAACGTGCAAAATACGAGGCCGTAATACACTGTAGTGTCCTGGTTTAACGGGTTTACAATAGGGTGAATACCGGCGGATGCAAAAGGAGCAACTATGGCTGACAGAATCAGATGTTTTGAATACCCTTACTAGAAAACAGAAGCCAAGATAACATTTTTCATTTGCAGTAAGATAATCAACCTCTCATTCAATTGTTTGGTATATGATACGCGCGAACATTTTGCTCATTGTTAACGTTATTCTCACAGACAGAATCAGAATGTTTCTGAATACTCTTACCAAAAAAATAGAAGCCAATTGCAAAACAACAATCTTTTTTGTGATGGAATAATAAACTTCTTATTCGATTAATATGAGCGGACATTTTGCTCATTGCTCGTATTGTTCCTCTCCCCTGGGGGGGGGGGGGGGGGGGGGGAAAAAAAATTT